GAGAGGTTCAACAGCAGCTCTTTTAAGTTTTTATCACTTTTTATCTCACTCTCATTTTCCTTGTATTTTAATCTGTTAATGATAAATAATTTGAATTCAAATTGAATTGAAATGAAGCAAGATACACAGCCAATAACAAAATAAACTAGAAAGTGTACCTCATGCTTATGGTCCCCTAGGGGCTAAGAATTGTCTGTCTGATGATAGTAGAATTGTGTTTCAAATACAAACAAATTCAGAAAATATACTAAAAAATAAATTCATACATTCATGAAGTGTAGGAGCTGAAAAATCATATGAAAGGTTGTTTCAACTTACTGGTCTGATGTCGATGTCACACATTCCAACACTGGTATTCACAACGGACGTCAAGCCTAGAACAGTGTTTCCTTCAAATCCCTAAATATTGGAAGATAAACAATGCATTTAGTAGTGAAAATTGAACTGAATATAATCAGCTGTGAATTAGGAATGTAAATTCTCTGGATTCCTGTGTGATACCATGCTATAAACTTAAATAAAGAAACTGCATTTATAGTACAGGTGATTAGGTGAAGATATATCATTAAATCTGGAGTAACATTAGATTCATGTCTGCTAGAATTTGTTTAATCAGATTTTCTATGATAATACTCTGTCCACACTATCAAATTGTCTTTAACAAGAAAACTGTTGTATGCCCATATATAGTCATGAGCAGTCGTCATGATGTGCCTATATATGGTCATAATGTGATATCATGACCATATATAGGCATGTCACATGTTTTTGTCAAACAAAACTTGATAGTCTGGACAGAGCTTAATATTAGTTTCAGACAAATCTGATCAAACAAATTATGTGTCAAGATAGCGCGTCAAAATACGCGCTGTTGTTGTTAAGGATTTTTTGTGTGGTAAAAACCACAAAATTGCTTGACAACAAATACACGCTTGTTTTGACGCGCTACTTCACGAACTAACACAATCTACTTTGGTTGTGTTAGTTCGTGACGTGAGCGACGATATGGACAAGATGATATCATTGCACACATGTATATGGGGATGATGTCATAGCACACATGTATATGGGAATGATGTCAGTAGCACACATGTATATGGGGATGATGTCATAGCACACATGTATATGGGGATGATGTCATAGCACACATGTATATGGGGATGATGTCATAGCACACATGTATATGGGGATGATGTCATAGCACACATGTATATGGGGATGATGTCATAGCACACATGTATATGGGGATGATGTCATAGCACTCTCTTATATGAAAAGGCACTTGTCACATAAAACTTGATAACGTGGACAGTAGCATAACGCCTATGCGCTCCCATGCAGCAGTCCACAGGGCCCTGACCCTTAGGGGACATGACCCAAAAGGGCTTTGTTGATACTCTACATAATGTGTCTGCTGACATTGTAGTAGGACATATAGAGGCCATCTAGATGTGCCACAATCAGCCCTAACCATGGAATGGCTGAGGTGGTGCAGTATAAACCCTCCATCTGTGGAAGTTCCACCCTGGGGCCCCCTCTATTTGAAATAGAGGGGCTCCAGAATCCACCACTGATTTCATATTATTTATTTCATCATTAAAATCATTTAGAATATACAGTGACAAACATAACAAAAAAAAACAAGCACATCTAAAATCCCACAATTGAATTGCCGACTAGGACCCAAAAAAGGACCCCCCCCCCCAGCCACATGGCCCTGGCCTCATTGTTACACCACTGAATGAGAACAGAGCTTAGTCAGAAACTGCTATACTGCACTTCATTATTCTGACAGATAAAAAGCTGGTGCCAAACTTTAAAATCACTAACCCTTAGCACATTTCAAAGTTCACATAAATGAAAGGTGACATTTCCAAAACAGTAAATGAGTTTGTTTTTTTTATCAGGTCATTGCATCAATAAACATCACCTCAAACACCTTTTATCCAAAAACAAACACGTACTGATATCTTATTATTCCCACGATCTATCAAATTGAAACCCACAACAGGGAAAGATTTTTTTTGTATAAAATCTTGGTATAATATTTAAATACATCTACTGTAATTTTAAAATATAACAAAATAAGATTAACTACATAAATTAACAACATGAACAAACTCAACTAAGCACTGCATTGTAAAGGTTCCTCATTTATTGTAAACAACAGAAAGGAATAATAAGTAAGTCAGACTCTTTGGTGTCCAGTGACAGTATGAAACTAAACCATATTGATGAGATGCCTCCAGGGAGACTTTATCAATTACCGATCTAGATCCAGATAATAATTTACTTATCGTGTGGTGAAAAGTGCTTGCACCCAGAATAGGCCTAGTGTGAATAGAGAATTACATTTAAAGATTAAAAAAAAAAGTAATATTAATATTAATACTATATTTTTGAATGATTGTACAACGCTATGTTTCCTGTAGCTGCATGGTATTGTACTCTTTTTATTTTTGGATTTACTGTATGGGTCAAATCCAATAAGCCAATTTGTAGTTTGAACTGCGCATGCCCGTATCCAAGATCAATTGACATAAACCAATGTTTTGTATGTTTGTTTATGTCAATTGACCTTGAAATGAGCATGCCTTGGCCTCCTTGGTTCCCGGCACTTGTTTTGTAGGCCCTCTACTGCAGTAGTTAAGTGAACAAGTGAATAAAAAAAGTGAAATGCGCAGTTGAAACTACGAATCGGCTTATTAAGAAAGACTGATAACTTCCTGATTTTTTTGGAACCAATAATTGGCTATCTATTCATCATGACAGGAAATAGGTTACAGATACAAAACCAATTCACGACAAACCAGGATATTATAAGTCTACTGATACATTGACGCTGACAGGAAAAATACCATGTCTTACCTCTGCATTGGACGGATCAAATAATCCTTCAGGGATCTTGATTCTTTCCTGGCCAAATTCCTGATGGTATCCATTAGGGAATTCATACAAGGCAGTTGGAAGTTGTGCCATTTCACTAGGGGGACAAAGATATCAAAATTTATTTTACTTCCCTGATGAAAAGAATATTAGAACAGTAGTGGGAAAAAATGTAGAATGTTTTATATTGTTAATATATTTTCACTCAGAAGTTATGGTGCCAATCCTATTATAATTTACTTTTGTTGTTTTTGAATGTATCCCTTGTGTAACTTGACCTTTGACACACACGCTAATGAAAATAAAAGATGGCTTATTGTTTTACGCATGAAATAACGACAAGAGCAAGATCTTCTACATTACATACCCATGACATACTGAACAACACAAGTGAAAAGCCTTCCTAATATTTCTTTACTATAATTGGAACACAAGGGCCATGTCCATGCAGTGTGGTGCATTTAAAACAGAGCATGGGTGAGGTGGTGATTTACACCCCACTGCACCCTAGATAATATTTGAGAATCAGCCACTAAATTTGCTGAACAAAAATACCACCTTATAAAACCTCACTCCCCACTCCACCTCAATACCCTAGACACGCCACTGACCATACATAATTAATAAATCAGATATCAGCCTTTAGTCCATGAGGGCAGCAAAACCAATTGTTGCTGCAACAGACTTAGACAAGTGGTGGCGCTACTTACTCTTCATCTGGAGTTGTGTCATATATTTGCAGGGTGGAGGCCTGGAAGTCTTGTATAACCTTCTTTACCATATAATTGTGCCAGGATTTTGTGACATTTGGTACAGAACGTTTCTTAAAGATTGCTGGTTGCTCCTCTTTTACAACTTCCTGTAAATAACCATCATTTATTTATGGCTTTACTTCTACATTCATATATCCATTAGGTTTTCATTAACATAATTATTCATTTTTTGTTCAAATGCTGGGTGGTTGGTCCAGTGCAGTGATTAACGTACAAATAATAAAGTATACATATGTACAACGAAATACAAAACAAACATTTGTATTGTAATCAATAAAAAAAATACTATATAGTACACAATTATAATGAACATGAAAAGCATATAACATAATGTCATTTGTATACACACACATTAGACAGAACTACTTTAGTACTGGGAATAAAAAAAGACATGAAAATGTTAGGAACAAGAAACAACAATAAAAATATGTAATCAACACCATTCGATTAATTTCCATATTACTGCATGTCAAAAGTTGTTATTTAGGTTGTATATTCATTTTGCTTCACGCAGTGTGTTTAATTGAAGGTACTAAAAATTATCAGCATTTGCTGTTTTATTCATCACTGGTAATAATATATGCTTTCACTCAACCTATCAATCAAACAATCAATCAAGTTATATCAGTGTAAACTACAGTACTTATCATGTTTACACATATTTTTTCCCATATTTATATTAATAAATTTCAAATAAATTATTCAGGTATTTTACCTTGGATTCCACCAGGTACGTTGGTGTAACTTCAATCCTGAGGTTGTCTAGTAACTCCTTACATTGCATTGTTATAAAATCACCAGCAATCGGACTCTTCACAATACCTATACAAATATTAAAGCAACAGGTTGTTTAATCTTCTTTTAAAATCAACATACACTTAAGATCAAACAATCTCTGAAAAGGTATATGCACCTTCAGACAAGTCTCATCAATCAAATTGTTATGTACAAAAAAAAACACTAGTACACAATAATGTGTAACACCAGCAGAGTTTTTCTTCACACTCCATCTAGTCGATTGAAATCTTATGATGACACAGCGTTTTCTGTTGCTGCACCATTACTATGGAATTCCCTGCCTCTTGAAGTTTGCCATTATCCTAATTTCCCTTAACATTTTCACAAACCTTATCAAAACACATCTTTTTTCAACTTTTTAGTTCCGTTTCACATTCAGACTTTGTTTATGCACTATAGCAAATTTATAATTACACTAATAATAAGACTTAGTTTATAAAGTATCACAATACTGATGCTCAAAGGGTCAACCTCTACAACTATGGTTAAAAGTAAACTCATGTAACAAAAACTAGTTTACTGACCTTGTTGTAGCACGTACCCATCATGCACCGGTGTGGCAGTTGTTTGAGTAGCACCACTGTCAACAACCAGACCTGTAGCACGGCCATTAGCAAAGCTATTGTGTGGTTAAGTTAAACAATAGAGGGATTTAGAGATGATTGTTTACAGGTAGTCATGTGACCTAACTTGGGTATATATGAAAAACATTATGGTTGCAAAAACAACCACCCACTGTTAACGTTAGAAGTAAATGTCTAGGAAAGGCAATACTATTATTCAAAATAGTGGTTTTTTTATCCTAGCGTTCTCCCTGGATTGTATGCTTTGAAATTTAAGTGATCCTTCATAAACCTTAGCTGGCCCTAGCATCGCAGCGTAGTTCGAAGACCATCATGCATACCTAACCATGCCGTAGATGTGCAGGGGCCTAGGCCTAACATTTTGTTGAAAAATCTCAATGTTTGCGGCCAGTATCCTTTACAACATACATTAAGACAAAAAGTAATTTACTCTCATAAACTAAGGTATATTTTATGACATTGAAATTCATAGAAGGATACGCCGTAAGTACTGCATTCTTGCATAAGAAGAAAGCAGGAATGTTGTAGTGCTCGAACATTAATTCGGTCAGTCGTTCCCGCTTGTTTCTACTGTTCCACTGAAAAAAAAATGAAAAGGTGTGATAAAACTGGACTAAAACGATTGGTCAGTCATTGTAATTATGGTTGTCTTAGGGTCTTTCTGCTTTAATAATATTTATTTGTTTATATTCATTTATGTTCTGCGGTTATGGCTGAGAAATGACATTGGATGTGGAGAGAGATACTCAATGGAGTTCACTCAAAATAAGTGAATCCGTTTTTGACTTAATTTCATATTGTACCAGGTTTTCATATCAGTGAAAAGAGAATATCCATTTTCCTCTGTCTAATTTTATTTGACTTTGTTGTTATTAAATTTCCTGCAGAATTTCTAAATCACTTACCGGGACTTCGGACATTAGAACTGGATGCTGGAGAGGGTCTGAGCGAACATGTTTCTTGTACAGGTGATCCACAAGATTTTCAAATATATCCCAATCCTCAACTTGGGAGTTTAAAAGGAGTAGAAAAATAAAATAATGAAAATCAGTCCAATAAAATACTGTATATTAAAATAAAAAATTGTTGGCATGTATTTTTGTAGTTTCTAATGTCAAAATATTTGGTCCAAATTGTATAAATACTGAATCCAGAATGAATTTATTTCCTATGTATAAATACTATTGAACATTTCTCGTAACTAAAACACTATTAAAGACTTGTTCTCATAAACTACTGTAACACTTTTAAAGACTTATTCTCATTACCAAAATCAACACATAGAAAGGATGTTAATATATGTAGGCCTAAGTCTGTAGTAATTTATTAGAAAATAATATCACCATTTGCTTGGGCATAGTTTTTCCACTGTTTTCATGACCTCTCACTATTGTTTAATATTACCATGATCATATTTTCTGGAAAGAAACCACCTCTACAAAAGTGTTGTCCAAGAACTCAAAACAAGACTTTAGCCCCAATATTTAGATTGAAAGCCCATAGCCACTGTCTCACATTTTATAACTTTTAGAATTGACGGGAATACAATAATAAAATGTCGATGGTTGCACATTTGCATGATACAAATCCAAGGCTAGGTTTCAGATTTGTAGTGGCTGCAGGCATCCATCTAACATGGACACAAACAGCAAATTTATTTTAAACTTACTCATTCCATCCTTGAGAGGGTGGACCAACTCCATTCCTTCTCTGGGGAAGTGAAGTGCATTTGTGTCGATGACATACTTCTTGCTTTTACTTTCCTTTATCGTTTGACCTGAATCTCCATCAACCTCCATGGCTTTTTCATCTTTATTATCAACAACACCAACTATCGTAGGAAAGTCTGCCTGAAAAATGCAATAACTCAATCATTAAATTAAATAACACTGGGTTGAGAGCATCTTTACTCTAAGGAACTTTTCATTAAATCTCACTTATCTTGTAAGACTTAATGGATTATCTTTAGTGAAATTCACACCAAAATACTCCTATTACTGTATGTCCTGGTTTATTTGTGTATCATACATTTTTAAATCTGTATAATAATAATTCATTTGAATATGGTTTTTTTTGTTCACAGTATATAAAATTTACATTAAAAACACTTATATCTTTATGAGAACACTTACTTTTGGAGAGTCTTCACCAGCATAACCTGCTCTGATTGAATATGAGCCAACATCAAACACTAGAGCTCCAACTTCATCTAACATTCAAAGCAAATTAGAAAGATTCTTTTTATGAAAAAAAAATTGCATGCATATAATTAAAGTATTAAACATAGATTTCCCATTAATCTACAAGAGTAAGTTTAAAATGTGCATTTGTCCAAAAGCAGAGATTTTATTTTGACAAGCTATAATATATTTAAAATAGAACAATATAAAGTAAATGACAACAGCACTTTTGAGACTAACAATACAGAATTCTTGTGCTGCTGTCATTTACTTTATACTATTCTATACTGTATCAGACTAATGCGGCTATACTTTTTATTCATCATATTTAAAATAGAAAGTTTAAAAACACAGTAAATAATAAAATATTTAATTATATATTGAACAGAGGAGTATAAAAAATACCAATTTTAATATGACTATTTATTTACTTCAAATGCAAATTTATCAATATCATATCAAAACTTCAACAAAACTCATGTTTTCAACTCAAATCTTCAGAGATATATATTAATAATATTGTTCTTACTATACTGTATATATACTGTAGTCTTTCATGTATAATAATATATTTTAAGTGCAACTATTCTTTGTTTTATTATTTTATATAGCATTATTGTTTATGTACTGTATTTTAAGCATCAGGAAAACCAAATTTCACCTTGTTTTGTGGTCATGACAATCAATATTTTATCAAATGTCTCACTCACTGTTTCAGTGTTTTGTTTACAATTGTGATTTAATAAATAAAAAATAAGCCTTTTTTGCAGGCATAGATAGGCCCTTGGCCTACATGTTAAAATAAAAAACACAAACAAAACAAGCTTAATTTTCAGATTTTCTGGGTGTTAAGTACATCGAGGTCGAACTGGTTCACGGAATAAATGGATGGTGTTCCTTAGGCCTAGTAGGGCCTACCTAGCACTGGCTACCTAGCTGGCCAGGACTCGGTGGCCGCTAAGCCTAGGCCCTAGCAGTAGCTGAACTCAGCAGACCGGGTCAAGTTGCATCTGTTCTAAAAGTGTAGATTCAAGATTAAAAAATAAAAATATTACCTCCACCATAGACACCTCCGCTCATTTTTCCAGTAAAAGTTTAAAACTAACAAAAATCCGTAAATAACAGCGCAGAACGAGCGATAAAGACAAAGCACACACAACTTCGAGGGTACTCTGAGCACGCGACACGATCGATCGACACGCTGAAAAAATAGCGGAAAAATATGAAGCATTACCTTATGTAAATCGTGCCAGTCCACAAAAAATGAAGACGATCTGATAGCAAGCACTGAATCAATCCTGCTTAAATAGTCGCCTGGTGGCGTCATCACGCTTATCTCAACAACAGTAAACAATGACTTAGAAAAGTTTAGCGAAAAGTCTTGCAAATCAGTTGTGCTAGAAGAAGTAAACCAGCATGATTGATATATTATGTTGGATTCCCATGTGTGAAGAATAAAAGAAACTACAGAATTATATAGAAATAAGGCGTAAATAAGCATAGGTTCTAAATAGGCTACCTAACGAAAATAGGCCTAGTAGGCCTAGTTTTAAAGGACTTGGCCTATGATCAGGTAAGTACATGTCAGTCACAACAGACATGGTATAACCCTGCCTGCCTCTAGGATGCCTAGAGCTCCCGATACCAGAATAAGTATCAAGTTCATGGATCCCACTTGATCCACAGTTTTTACCAAGGATACAGTGTTACATTCTCTCTATTGGCGTAGCACTCATCAGTTCACTCACTGCCAAATTACTTTGTTTCTTTTGAAGAAATTTTTTTGAAATGGCTTCAGTCAAGTCAAAAGTAAAAGGAAGACAACGAATCCACATTCAATGCAGTAAATCTACATCGACTAATGTTGGTGTTCTTAGTGGAAAAGGAATACAGAAATGTGAAGGCAAAAGGAAGGAAGCGAAAGAGAGATTAAATGTGGACTTGTAAGTAGATTTTATATTATTTTATAAGTAAACAATTTGGCATATAAAGAAATACCTAAAAGTAAATTCAAGTATCAGGATTAGAGCCTGCACTGGGTATATACGGGTGCAGGTAAACTCGGCCCTGCTTAACCAACTCGGGCCATACCGACTCGGCCTATGAACAAATTTGGCCCTTGTCAACTCAGCGCTTAACCTACTCGGTCGACAACCGACTCGGCCCATACACTAACATGATGATGCTTAGAAATCCCTCTGTGAATGAGAGAAGTTTCACAGGTGATGTACTGCATATATTATACATTGAGGTCTAAGGTACATTAAAGTCTGTCGTGACATCATCATTTTCATTTGCATGTAATTTTCCTATCCCCGAGCATGTACTAATTCGATATTATCTTCAAATAAAATAAATTTTAGGTCAAATTGATGGATTATTATTATAGTCTTATGCTGTGTACTGTATATAATTTCAGCAGCGAAAGTTTAAATGAAATGCTCGTAAAGATAGATTCAATTCCACTGGACACCGACACGATTCACTCAATACCCTCCACTCTCTTCAACCAGCCCATCAACACCAAGTGTTCTTGTGGTAATATAGGAAACCAGAAATCTCAGATTGCAGGTGGGAAGTCTCTGTCCTCCGATTCAGACACCGATGATGAAGATGAAATCAGTATTGGCAAGATCATAGATATGTTGAATGTGCACACTAGAAAGGCATTACAGAAGGACAGGTCTCCAGTTTTGACTAATCTGGTGTCAGGTTTTAGACCAGGAAATGAGACATTACACGCAGTCCAACTTCAGCAGGTAGAATTCAACTTTATTATTTGTGGTCTGTTCTGGAATCTACCACTTTGGGGAGGGGTTACCCTCTAAATCAATGGAATTAAAAATTTACCAGAATATGAGCAATCAATGGCCTGTCAGATGTTTTTATATCTTATTTGCCCATGATTAAACTTAAAACCAAGGGTTCATTCAGAAACCTGTTAAGTATTTTGATTTTATTAACATTAATCATTTAGCCATTAATTTATAATAATTATAAACATTATACTTAGTATTGTGAATAAACAATTTTAAATTTTGAGTTGCCATCTAATTGCCCATGTACTTGTAATAACCTCTATATTACTTGCTTTCACTAATCGTTTTGTGTTGTATTTTAGCTGAAACTACTGCTAAATGGAAACAGTAATACTGTTAAATCATGTGTGTTGGTGTTGTTGGCGAAACTTAGTGCAATAATGGCAAATGCCAAGGCAATTTTTGAAGCTGGATTTCTCGAAAAGTTAGTGAAGGTTGTTGAAGAACAGGATATTCTACTCTTGAAAGATGCGCTGCATTGCATTGGCATGGTAACAGTGTTTGTTGTCTTATATTTTCTAACCTCCTCATCATGTTGCCTCGGCAGACATCTGTCTGTGCAGTGTGAGCCTGTTCATAAAACTCATTCAGTATTAACAAGAGAGGTGCTTTATATCCATAATAGCATCTTCCTATTGTAATATGTGAATTGTAATTATATCTAGATACAATATTCCATATTTAGTGGTTTGTTCATTATTTAAACAGGATTTGCTTATGTCTTTATGAAACAGACAGTATGATATTATTTAAACATTCTCTATTTGTTGAGAACATACATTTAAATATCAATAACTTATTGAAAAATACAAAATATTAAATTTCTTTTTCTTTAAATTTTCAATTTTATACTTTCAGCTAATCAGTCATGAAGAGTTATGTGACTCGTGGCTTTTGTTGATGATCCAACGAGGCCTTCCGTCACTACTGACCATTCTTCAGTCAAATATTGGTGAAAATCTGCTTGTATCAACTGGCTCGGTCTTGTCCGTCTTAGCTGTTCGTCATGAAATTGCAGTTTTACTGGTTGACCATGGTATGCCGGTCATCATCGGTGCTCTACAACTAATTTCAAAACTTCGTGTAAGTCCAAGAAGTCACTATATATATATAGGCATCACTAAAAACACATTTTTTGTTTTAAGTTTAAGAAGTAGTTATCATTCTGATTATTGAAATGTTTACACTGCAACATTGCATTCTTTATACAACGGCACTATAAAATCTTGAATAATGATCTACACCAATTACTTTTATTTTTGTTGTTTCATTTTTACAAGGAACCTGTAATAACAATGCTTACTCATGTAATATCCCATAATGATCAGTTGATGGCTGCTGTGATTGACAACTATGTTTTTAGAGAAATTGACATGGCATTTAGAGTTGACCTTTGGTAAGATGCTCAAGAACCAAAATGTTTTTTATCGTCAGTAACATAAAAGTGTAGCTGTATCTTGGTGGTTTTCAAATGCATATTTGTTCACGCTAAAAATAGCTCCTCTTCCTAATTTGTGAGACACATACAGTAGCTGTGCACTATGAGAATAATAATAATAATAATACGTAAATGTTGATAAATTTACATTAATTCCTACCAAGCATGTTCGAAGCAAAGTTTCTGGCCTAAAAAATTACAGAAGAATAATTTCAATGTATGTTACACCATGGAGGTATTATTGAGAAGGAGATCACTCGAAAAAGCTACGCGCACGCAGCGCTATGCAAATGAACCAGGATCAAAGTTGCTGCAGCGCGTGAAGAACGTTTACGCGATGCCTTTGAAGTCCCATGTGTTCCCCGCCATCAAATTTTCAGCAGGCATAGTTTATCAAAAAATTGAACATGGCGAAATGGAGAGCACCTTCTTTTCTCGGTGCGCACTACATGCAGTCAATCTAATCACTATGGCTGCGCAATCGTTTCCATTTTGAAGCTGATACATTTATCTCTCATAATATATCAAACATATCAATATTTCCACCTAAAAAAGTTTCGAATTTAATGGAACATTTACATGACCTTTAAAAGTATAGTATAGTTCAACTTCAATTTCCATAAATTGGCCAAAATTCGCTAATTCTAATTTTAACAGATATTAATTAATAAATGATTGAGGATTATAATAAACTAAGTCATTTTAGGGTTAACGAGGGTTAACTATTCGAAAAATCAATCCAAAATCTGAGTATTTTTCAGTTTTACGCTAACTTAGCTTTATAGTTGAACTAAGCAATCTTCAGACAAAATTATAATGAACACAGAAGTAATTTTAACATAAATATTTTACGGAATCCGTTCCTGAAATATAACATACCAAAAGTCTGAAAAAATCTAATCAGGGGAACATTGTTCATTATAAAGATATTTAATATGTTAAAATCAAATGCTTTATTGCACAACTGCTCTGCTGGAAGTGTATAAATGCAAGTTGTTGCCAAGTTAGGGTAGTACGCCCGCGCGCGATGCAAAAGCGGGGAACGCATGGGTTTTTCGGGTCAAAGGGAACTGTTGCCGAGTGATCTTCTCAATAATACCTCCATGGTTATACAGTAACAGTAATTTAAAAATGAATACTATGATATTTGAGGTGCAAACTCTATTTAAACAATTACTTATTAATGTGTTGCTTTCTAAAGTTCTGAACAAATAGCTGCAATGGGTTTCTGCTACAAATTGTGCCAAGATTCATATGGAATAGCAAGTATACTAGAAGAAGATAAACTAAAATTACTGGTTCAAGTCACTCAAGCAACCAATTGTGTGTAAGTGTGTACAATTCTCTTCCTATGTTTATGTTCCTAGTGTTGTATAAAAATAACTGCGTGGATTTATATATACCTGTAGTTCCTACTTAACACTGTTCCTACTATATACAGAGCTTGCAAGCCTCTGGCAAACTAAGAATGCCTTCCAAAAATTTACACAGTCTCCCACATATCTGTGAGCAGGAAAAAAATTTCCAACTGAACTCACATCATACAATTTCCAAGTGTTTGCATGTTTGTACTATGTACTATTACAATTAATAATAATTGTCTCATTGAAATTATGTGGTCAATATAATGTGTGAGACTATCTTGACTGAATATGGTAAGAAAAATTAATTCAAAATTTTTTAAATATTTTCATTTGCAGGAAGGTGCGAGGTTTGGGTGTGAAGATGATTCATGCTTTACTTAAATGTCAGGAAACTAACATTCTTAAGGAATCCATCGTGCAGGTAATTTTAAACCCTGTTCACATGTTGATTTGTAAATTTGCCCTTATATGTGTGTGATATGACATCATTACAGCCTACAGCCACAATATCGGAGCTGGTTCGAACGACATGCTTGCCTATGGTGCAGTGTTGGCACATGTGCACTATAAAGAACCCAGTACATCTTTTGAGACGAGTAGGGGGTTACCCAGTGTACTGGTCCATCCAGCCCCTGTTCTTGTGGACAGATGAGAGTAGCTGGTACCAGCTTTCAGGCTCAGATACGAAGAGTCCCTTAGGGGAGAAGAAATGTATGAACCAATCCACATTGCAAGCGCTCTGATCTTCATGAGATAGTGTTATTTATAAGTGCTGTAATGTATGTAATATATTGGAAAATTTTTCACAAGAAACTTGTTTGTGTGTGCTGAGTTTATTGTGTACAATCTCTTCTAATCAGACTAATATGCAATCCACAACATCGTACCAGGTACCCCATTTATACTCCTGGGTAGAGAGAGACAAACATAGTGCTTTGCTAAGAACATTAGCAAATGTAAAGTGTTGTATGTTGTTTTGTGTCCCTAAATATTTGTGGCCTTGCTTTCATAATGAAAAGGAATATTTATGTAGTGATAAATATATTGCAGATGGGCAGAATTCATTGTGAAGGTAACAACTTGAGAGGGATGGCAGATGTGAAACTAATGCAGAAACACACTTCTCTTGGTATGAAAAGACAAGAGACTAAATCAAGGACAGAAAGAGGTGTTATGTTCCTGAGCAAGATGCTAATTAATTTGCTGTACAGAGAAGGTAAGACATGCATAAGTAATTGAATAATTCCTTATTAATTATATCATAATTGTGTATTAATGTTTTTGTCTCCATTAAGTCTAAAATATCCTCAATACAATTAATTCAATTCTGCTTGTTCCTGAATAATAGAATTGAATAATAAGATCTGTGTATGAAAATTTACGTAAACCAATTAATGTAAACCAAGTATACCAAAAAGAAAAATTAAAGTATATATAATTTAAACATAAATAAACATTAGCAAAGTATACCATAAAAAATACATTCATGTATATATTATATAAACAAGCTCTTGACATCGGAATGAATATAGAAATTTTACAGGAATTCAACATTGTACTGTGTACATTTTATAAGTAACAAATGCTATATTTTATGTACACATTTAACTTTTTTCTTTTAAAGGAAAGGTGATTGTTGACTCGGATGGTAAGGTGCAGTCGGTAGGGTTTAAGGCAGCTCATGATCCGTACTCCACGATGTCTGTTTTAGTTGCTTGCTTTTACCTGATATCTACTCTGCCACTAAGTCGATCAAGAACAAGAACAACTAGCTCAAATAAAGTCCTATTTCAATGGTAATGTTGAGATAAATTATTCTCTTCCAAAGAGTAATAAAATTTACATTGAGTTTATTCAAATATCAAATTATTGCTTCAACTTTTTACATATTTGATCTCCATTGATCCACAGTTTCAGTAGTAAACATCGAAAGGTAAACTTAAACACATCCACATATTTGATACAGAATGGAGCACTGAACGTGATACACATCCTTAATTCTTACTGCAACCTGTTGGGAGATGGTAGACGAACTCGGCAAGCCACTGCATCCGAGAGATCTCTTGACACTCTGCATTTGCAAGCCATCATGAAGATTTGGCAAAAGGAAGAACAGGAGCAGACGCCGCCATTAAATCTAGCAGATGTCTTAGTTCCGTCAGAATTAAAGTTTCTTTTGGAAATGTTGTCGCTTATGAAGTTATTTAGCCAGATATGTAGCACAGAATGGAATTATAACGTCAAAGACAAGCTACAGGAAGCTATTGCAGTTGACCAGGAAGTTGGAAAAAGCTATTATGATGCACCTGTAGATCAATATGCACCACATTTGATAGGTGATTTGAAAATTAGAAGTACTGGAGAAGAAACAATGCCAGCCATTACTGTCAAAGAGGTACTGGACTCTGGTGATGGCCTGATGGAAATCCAAGCTGTGGAAATGAATGCTAATCCGGATGGTGCTGGTTTGATTACCAAAAGAATTGCATGGGAAGAGAGTGAAGAAAGAAGAGAGGTGTCTGAATCGATTGATGAGGGCACTATAAATACATTTGAAAGACCATTATTAGAGACCTTGAATGAAGCAGGATATGATGTAAAGGCAGATGATAGTGTGTTTGAACTCCATCAGAAGTTACGGATGAAGCTTTGTCAAGAAGGTCTTTTTGATGCACTCATGTCATTGGCCAGATGTGGAGTTCCTCAACTTGAAGTAAGATATTATTCATAGCAGATGTTAATTTTGACGTTTTCTTGTGATCAATTCCTCTTATAGATGTCATATTTCAACTAGATTTTGAATGATAAGATGCTGAAAAGGAAGGTCTGAGGTAGGAAAGAGAGAAGATGACAATTTATGCGAGAGGCTGGTAGTGTGAAAGATCACTTCACTGGATATTTTGTTCGGTAATTAGCTTAGTAGAGCCTCTGAATTATGACATTTTAAAAACATAATTTAACAGTTTGTGGGAGTGTGGCCAAGCCCAGGCTCTCCACCCCCCCCCCCAAACTTTTTTTTTACAATTATGAAAAAATTGAAAAAAAAGGAAAATTATAATTAAATGTAGGTTTGAGAGTGCCATTTTTGGCCATCTAGAGAAGCCATAACCATAATTTTTTTCACAGCAGCCTCAAACATGGTAGACCCTCCCTCTGTGTAAGTCCCTCCCTGGGCCTCCTCTATTTCAAATTTCTGGATCTGCCACTGGGAATTATTACAACTTTAAAGATTCTTCTATTATTGGTCATCGTAAAGTTTAAAGTGATTACAGTGGTGTTGTATAAAACTCTGTTTTATTACACATATTTTTCAGAATTATTATTAATGAATAATTATTTTATTAAACAAATAATTATATTTCCTAACTAGGAAGAAATATTGGAAACCTTGAAGTGTCTACTACAGCCTGTAAAACCACCAAAACTGACCGATCACCATGATTCTAAATCACCGCTGGTTAAACAGAAAACTCTGTGAGTGATATCCAACTTAAAGCCAGTTTACCCTGTGTGTGCATAGAGCAAAGAAACAGAGTGTTTCTTTGCTCTATGGTGTGTGTATACAATGCATTAAAAACAATTTTTATTTCTTTTACATCATACATCTTTAAATGTTTAAATTTCAGGGAAGAGATTTCAAAATCTTTGGAGATGCGAGATAGGTTGCTTAGCAGTGTCATCAACAGTATGAGTAAGAAGACAGCTGATGTGATGAAAGAGGCTTTGAAAACAGACTCACGAAAGAAGTCATCCAAGACTGTAGGAAACAAAAAGAAAGTGGATGCTAAACGTAGGGAAAATCGATAATTTAATTAAAAAATTTTTCGCCTTTTTACCTCTTTAATAACAAATAAAACAGTATAACAGTCTGTCTTAGTATAATACTGTATTATATGAGGACAGCTTGCAACACAAGTAACAAGTAATATAGCACAAAAGATTTTGGGAATGCCTATGCAAAAACTCTGAAGACAGAAAGAAATGAAACAAATCATGCTACTGCTTGCTAGTGGAATGGCCCTTTTGAGTCAACTTTGAAATATGTTTTAATGGTTAAAAAGAAATGCAATATGGCAGCACTTTCTAATGCATTTATAGTAAATTTAATTCCATTGTTAAACTCATAATTTCTTTAATTGGTTGTTATTCAGAATTGTCAAATTTTAGAACATCCATTACTAATTCACCGGAGCGGTTATCATGGCATTGTACAATGCACTGCTTGGAGATGGCAGGTCATGTGATCAAAGGTTTAACAGATCGAGAAGATGGCGCAGTTCAAAGGTTACTACTCATTCTTTATGATATGCTGTCTTTTGGAGATGTAAGTAGCACACAAACAATACAACATACAATAATTTTGTATAGAGTTAAACATATGGTTCAGTAGGAAGGCATCCACCTTCAAATCTCAAAAGTTATGGTTCAAATCCTAAAAAAATTACAGTATTTTTCCTCATAATATATTTATAATTAATATCTGAATGGTAATCTTAAGTTTGAATACTGAAGGGACAATAACTTTTCAAGAAAATGTATGTCAACTTAGTTGGCAATATATAAAATAATTAATAACAATGTTTGGATACAGATTGTCCCAATTGATTGATTTGTCATTATCATTCCTGATGATGACATAATTGATGTTAAAATATTGAATCCTGACATGATGGCGTGCATTTCGATACTTGGAGTATGTATTATACTATCTTATTTGATTGATTTGATTCGCTTCAAATTATTATCTTTTCAGATTACAGTTCATATGAAGTTGGCGTCTATTGGTTTAATACCAGCCCTACTTGAATTTATTTGTAAGGAGCATCCGAATATGTTCATCAGTCTCCTAGGTATATCTGTGTATACAAGCTTTACTATTATTTATTCAAAACTTAGATGTAGTTTTCATTATGTGAAATATTTTTAAAATATTCTTTTAGTTTATTACTGTAAAAGATAGAGATGGCATTTAATAAATATGTTTTTAAATTCATCATTATCATCTCCATTAAATTTATCGTAAATGCTGACACTAATTTAATTACAGGGTCATAAAAAATTACAAAGCATAAAAAAAATATGTATGTCCAATGATTTTTTATTTTTTTTAATGGACACCTAACCGTATAAAACTAGCCTTGAGATGCCATGGGGTTCCTTGATTTGAGATAAGCTCTACACTTGAACCCATTCCAACCACAGATATTATTAGTTTAGTTCAAGGTCAGCATATACTGTGATAAAGTGCTTCCCAACATTTTTGCTTGGGGCTGCACTTTGGTGGTCAGCGACTCACCTTGTCAGAAACGAGACAAAGTCACTTTCAGGCTTTTCCTGAGCTGTCAAAAACAATGATGATATGCAATGGCTAGGTCTAGACTTTGAAAATCCTTGCCTGATTCACTTTCCCATTAAAGTACTGCATTAATTGTATAACTGACATTTAATGTTTGTAAACTGTTCTTTGTATGTACATGGAGGTTGTTATACCTCCATGATATACTGTATATATTAACATACGATTCTTGCCATGCCAAAACCAGCGTACTGTTGCTAAATGTTATACTGATTAATTAGCATAAGAATGTGGCTGTATTGTATACTTTAATAATAATAATAATAATAGTAATAATAATAATACTAAATAATAATAAATAATAATAATAATAAAATAATAATAATAATAATAAAAAAATAATAATAATAATAAATAAATAATAATAATAATAATAAAAAATAATAATTAAAAAAAAAAAAAAAAAAAAAAAAAAAAAAAAAAAAAAAAAAAAAAAAAAAAAAAAAAAAAAAAAAAAAAAAAAAAAAAAAAATAATAATAATAATGATAATAATAACCGAAAGGTCCACTGATTAATCTCAGATAAGAAAGTACAATACATACTCCAAGTATTGAAATACACGCCATCCTGTTGGGATTGAATATTTTGACATTAATTATGTCATCATTATTCCTTTATGCGGTTGGTAATTGAGCTCTTTGAGTTAGATATTTTGAAAGTGGGAATTGAAAAAGAAAGTACAAAGAAGCCATAATACTTTTACTCATAACTTTGGCAGTACTAAGTTGATTCCAGTAAATGATCTATCATTTCAAAGCTAATAATGTGGTGAATATGAATATTTTAAAAAGGCAATTGTACATAGGTTGCTTGCTACAAGCATACACAATTAAAAAATACACAGGGTATATCATGATATATGTTTATTTATTATAACACGTACATTGTCAATCTTGTATAACAATTGATTAACGTATTTTTTGCAGCTGTTATTGTACTGCAGAAGTTGACACATGACCTCCGACTAAAAGAAATGTGTAAAACCGAAGGTAGTTTTTATGAACTAAAGATGAAGTTCTCCAGTACTTACAGAGGGATATTGAAACGCGAGCTTCAGTTCTTCTTCAAAAGAGTTGAAATTCCAACTGGTAGGCTATGTACACATATTCCTATTTTGTAAAATGGTAAACCTTGCAACTATATATGGACAGTGGCATATCTAGAATTCATGAAAAGGGGAGCTGATGGTGGAGTTGGCCAGGGGATAGATTATTAAGCAAGGGGGCACTAGAAGTGTAGAAGCATGTGACAGCGTGTAAGGCGTTGGGCTTTCAATCACAAGGTCTGGGTTTGAGACCAATGCTCGTCACACTGCTTGTGTCCTTGGGCAAGGCACTCTGTATTTGCCTTGCTTCAGGTATAAATGGGTACCTGGTAGGAGGTGAATGATTCGGAATGAAATTAGTAGTGTTGATTACACGCATACCTAATACTCCCCCAGGGAGCAGAGGAGGTTATATGTATGATTGATTCCTGTATTCAATGACCAGGGGAAAAAGCAATTTTCTGGATAAGCGCACTATATAAATCCTATAAAGTAATAATAATAACTTATAACTAGGTCGCAAAATGAGGTGATATGAGTTGATTTCTAACTACTTGAGCATGGTTTTTTGCTTCGGACATTTTCACTGTGGTGGGTGGGGGGGGGGAGTGGGGTGGCACAAGCTTTTCTGGAGTGAACCCCAAGATATGCCACTGCAAATACATGTACGTAGATGAGAGCCCCATAAGCTAGTACTAGCAGTTGAGTAGATTTCATAGGCTTGGAGCCATCCAATCTGCAAAGTCTTGAGTGGGACTCGACCCAAGCCTATCAGCAGAATGAGCCAGGGCAGCTCAAAATGAAGAGCTAACTCATTTTAAATATGGGTAGAAGGATGAAATAATGATTGAAAAATCATCTCCTTAAGGTCCCATGGTGGAGGTGAGGTGCTATCCACTTTCCATTTGTAAACGTCCCTTTTGTGGCTAAAATATTTTTAGCTAAACTTGCCAGGTCTGAGTAGTTTCATCTGGTTTTGTATTGATGTATTTAATATATTTTTAAACAAATAAACCAATAAGTTGATGTTGACTTATGCAAGCGTAAGTCAACATCAACTTATTGGTTTATTTGTTAAAAAATATATTAAGTGTACATTGTGTTATATAGTATAAGTAAACTCATTTATTTATGTTACATCCTGCACACTTGTCTATATATATATATATATATGTGTGTGTGTGTGTGTATGATATGTATGTATATATATATATATATATATATATATATGTGTGTGGGGGGGGAAAGTGGGGTGGCACAAGCCTTTCTGGAGTGTGTGGACTGCCACACAACCCCAAGATATGCCACTGCAAATACATGTACGTAGATGAGAGCCCCATAAGCTAGTACTAGCAGTTGAGTAGATTTCATAGGCTTGGAGCCATCCAATCTGCAGAGTCTTGAGTGGGACTCGACCCAAGCCTATCAGCAGAATGAGCCAAGGCAGTTCAAAATGAAGAGCTAACTCATTTTAAATATTGGTAGAAGGATGAAATAATGATTGAAAAATCATCTCCTTAGAGTCCCATGGTGGAGGTGAGGTGGTATCCACTTTCCATTTGTAAACGTCCCTTTTGTGGCTAAAATATTTTTAGCTAAACTTGCCAGGTCTGAGTAGTTTCATCTGGTTTTGTATTGATGTATTTAATATATTTTTAAACAAATAAACCAATAAGTTGATGTTGACTTATGCAAGCGTAAGTCAACATCAACTTATTGGTTTATTTGTTAAAAAATATATTAAGTATATATTGTGTTATATAGTATAAATAAACTCATTTATTTATGTTACATCCTGCACACTTGTCTAACCAGTATTAAATGTCGAAGAATTAAAAAAAATATCAGAGATCGGTGAAAAGTGACTGTTGGAATGGCGTCAAATAAATAAAGTGATTTAAATTGACACATCGCCTAAGTTTAATAGTATGCACTTCTAGATAACATGATTGCCCATTAATTATGATTTGTTTTGTTTTTTTTTCAGATTCCTTGGGTCTGGATATCAAAGTTGGATACCCTTCCACATGACTTCGACAGAAATGGGTTGATGAAAAAATAATAAAAGGAAGGAATTATATGATATAGAGTACTGAAAGGTCCACTGATTAATCTCAGATACTTACTTTTACTTACTGCCTGTTATGCCTTTGGCATGTAGGGCAGCAACGAAGTCCTTCCACTTAGATCTGTTCTGGGCCAACCGTTGTATGGTACCCCATGTGTGCCCCAGACTCCTCAGTTCTGTCTCCGCAGTCCGTCTCCAGGTATTCTTCGGCCTTCCTCTCTTCCTCTTTCCTTCTGGAGTCCAGAATAGAGCTGTGCGTGTGATGTCATCTGATTCTTTTCGAAGTATAGGGCCAATCTATCTCCATCGTTTCCTCAGAATAGTTTCCATGTTATTCATTTTGCATCGATCTAATAGTTCCTCGTTGGATATGGTGTTAGGCCAGAAGATACCCTGTATCCTTACAAGGCTCTTTGTATGAAAAACAGAGAGGTTATGTATGTCTACCTTCTCAGATAAGATAGTATAATACATACTCCAAGTATCGAAATGCACGCCATCATGTCGGGATTCAATATTTCAACATTAATTATGTCATCATCAGGAATCAAGTACTATAGAGTACTCACGATAAACTGACAGGGAAGTTTGAATATTGAGTTTTATTAAGTGATTTTATTATGTGTGAAATTTTGTATCCAATGCTACAAATTTTTTAACTACATTTCATACTTGAACATATTTCTTGTTTTTGAAGATTTTGCTCATAACAGGAAATATTCAAATAAATACAATTTTATATTCATTTGTTTACTGTAGATTGATGGAAACAAGTTTTAACAAGGTTGGATTGATTTCAGAATTTAAATAAAAATTCTTGCATAGCCTTTTAAATTAGCTGGTTATCAATTAGGGATTTTTTTTGTAGTAAAATGTTGGTAAATTTGAAAAAGAAAATCCATTTGTTAAGTTTTATTGATCCATGGAGTGTACATTTTAAAATACATTTTAGGAACAATTTATTGAATGTGATGTGTAAGTGTATGTGTGTGATTATTATTGTTATTAATTATTATAAATGTTGGCCCCAGCTAACACATTATGTTTGTATCAAACTATGACTTTTCGACATATCAATAACATTGTAGATGTGCCCTGTTACATAAATGTATGTTCAATATATATTGAGTAGAGATTCAAGTTACTACCTTCTGAAGAATTACATTTGTTCTGGCCGTGAACACTTTTGATGTCTTGAATATTGTACAGCCAATACTATGTGAATGCTAAATGATTATGATTAGGATTGAAATAATTTCTTACACTTTTACCTCCATGTATTGGCTATGTTATAAGACCAATATACGTGCTTACTTACAATAAAATCATTGTTAACTTAGTTTAAATTGTTTATTTTTTGAGAAATTATATCATTTAATATCTCATATCATTTATTTCATCTTTAATTCAACACACGAAAAAAAAATGGGGGGAAAATATTGTAAAAATGCTAGCCAACACCAGACGGGATTGCTCAAAAGTGGCTTTAAACATACTGGCTGGGAGCTCAACTATTTAACTTTATATACATGTCTAAAATGTGGCTGTAATTACACTTTTCAGTTCTCAACTATTAAGTGGCTTTTGAGTCGATTAAAAATATGTTTAAATAAAAAATGAGTTTGTCTCTTATTTCTTTTGGCAATGTATCCCAAATACGGGGAAAAGACTAAATTTTAATTTGTTTGTCCTGGCGAATGCATGATTGAATTTAAGTAGGTCTGTGTGTATGCGATTAATATTAATGTACTTATTATTTATTATTATGTACATACTCCAAGTATCGAAATGCACGCCATCGTGTCGGGATTCAATATTTCGACATTAATCCCTGATGACATAATTAATGTCGAAATATTGAATCCCGACACGATGGCGTGCATTTCGATACTTCGAGTATGTATGATTATTATTATTATTTTTTTTTTAAATGTTTAGGCCCATGGCCAAGGATATGCCAATAGCGAACCTAATCACTTTACTAAGCGGAAATCCTGTGACAAGATAAACACATAAACAAGATGCTCTAAACTAAACTAAGTCTTATTATGATGCTTAGGGAATGGAGTTGTTTTGATTGTGAGAACAAAATCCTGTTGCTGTGACAGGAATTGGACCCTGTCACTCGAAGGCATGCTTCTTAACCACCAAGCTGTTCAACTCCACTCAAAAACTACTTAAATACGTTGATGTTTAGAAGGTCATACACGCGTTTAGCAATAAATGTTAATACTGTATAATAAATTGTAGCCTATGTTCAAATTTAAATTCAATGGGTCGTTCAGGGTAAAATAGAGTTGAAAATGAAATATCACATGTTTTTAGGTCATGCGGCGTTGTACTTGTTGAGTGATGTGATGTGCTTTTTAAGGCGTGGAGACCAATCTGGTAAACCCAAGGAGGTCCTACAGTAAACTTTTAACTATAATACCTCAATGGTAAACCATATTCAAGTATAGGTCTTACAAGGGCTGAGTAAAATTTGCTTACAGAGTTATCTCTGCTTTGATAATGCGCTTTATAAACCCAAACATCTTATTGGCGTTCGGTTTAGTTCCAGTACCTGATCGCTCTAGTCGAGTTTTGAATTAAGACCTAAATATTAACCAATTTGATACAGCTTGCAGCTCTTTTCCATCGATGTTATAGTTTGGAACCTCAATTTAAAATCTAGTTGGTCTTGAAAATATGCATTCGATTGTAGGCCCTATTTGTATTCTAACTTGTTTATGCGTGCACCCACGGTAAGAATATTGTTGATATCAGTTTGGAAAATGGTGTTACCATATAAAATGGTATCAAATTGAAGTGAGTATTTACAACTGTTGGAAAATCGGATACAAATAGGGCTATATTGAAAATGATTGGTTCGAGAAGCGACCCTGTGGGTTATCTTTACTAAGATTAATAATGCTAATAAATATGTAAGTAAATGTCCTTGCTGCTTATGTGGGCAGGAGCTTATCCCCAGTTTCAAGTAGCGTAAAGGGAATGACAGTGTGATGCTCTCCCTGGATGGGACGCTGGTCCACCGCAGGTTACTGTACTCCCAGCAAGTTACATGTAATCATTGATACAGCTGGATAGACTGAAGCAATGTAGATGATAAAGTCCCTTGCTCAAGAACATAACGAAATAAATATAATAATATAATAATAAGAAGAAAGAAGTATAAACTGTTCATCTTGATATATATATATATATATGCATGCATTGTTTTCATTATTTTGATTGCAATAGTGCATCCGCCACAGTGTGGCGCGTGGATCTGCCCAAGGTGGGTGGGGAGGGAGCGTGTCCTCGAATAGTGGAAAACAGATGTCCGCAATGCATATGAGACTATGTGGACATGGAATCGAATATTATAGAAGCTCGGATATAGGTATTTCGGGTAGGGTATATTCATCCCCTACAAGTTGTGTTGTGCTCTCCATCGGGAGGGGAACACATCTCACCAACAGGGGAGGAGAGGGAGGGGCAAAAATCCTTGTGAAACTGGCCGTTAACAAATATATTTGCCTTCTTTGCCATTTTCAACTACAAATTCCTACCTGTGAGTTAACATTCTAAAATGTATTTCTTAGCTTCGGCTTAAAAAAAAACATACTTTGTATGTTGGATATTTTTAATTTTTTTTTTTAAATTATGACTCCGTATACATCAATTCGACCAAATAGTAATTTTATGTAATTTCCTCGGCATTAAATTGAAAAATTTTGGCCTGGATCCTATTTTCTGAACTACGAGCCCCATCAATCAAATCGAATTTTTCCCGGATGCACACTTTTCGAACAGTGGCACACACCATTAAGCTTTTTAAACCATTAAAATGAACGAACTATGCTTCTTCGCGTCTTTTTCAGCCACATAGGCCCTATTCTTGTAATCTTGCTACTCAGGAATTCTAAACATATAGGCCTATTGAGGGAGGCAATGGTAGCAAATACTGTACTCAAATATTTCTTCCCCTGGATATAAGAGCAACCGAACTGTTTTTTTTTTTTTTTTTTTTTTTTTTTTTTTTTTTTCCACATTTTTTTTTTTTTTTTTTTTTTCGAACTATGCCTACCGTATACATTCGATCAGGTCTTAACAGTCTAATGTAATGTAATTTAATTAATGTAATATAATGTAATTTCCTCGGAAATACGAGAAATCTGCATCTGGCGCGGCATAGTCGGCTCCTTTCCTGAACTATAAATCCCATCAAATAAAATCGGATGTAGTGGATGTACACTATTAAACGCAGTGCATCCTTTAAAAATACAAGTGTAATAAGAAAACGTTCCAAAAAGTCACACACACACACACACACACACACATTTTCAATAGAAACGGTCACAAATTAAATAATTATATGAATCTTCACATGTCTTTTTCAGCCACGGGTTCTTGCTATTTAGTTTCAGCCACGGGGTCTTGTTACGATGGCCCTAATTTATCGTCTTACTTGCTTTGCCTACACTGGTGAGATTTTTCGCAATATTCTTCCAAAAAAGAGTGATTTTTTTCTGCTTCTTGACGAGTAGGCCTATATCTCAACACTTCCGATTAACAATAGTATCGTTAACATTTTAAAATTTAATTCTACACTTCAGCTTTGGCTGCAAAAAAAAAAAAACAAAAAAAAAAACAAAAAACAATTAAAAAAAAATTTGTACCCTGATTTTTGAAGAGGATAAATATAATAAAAATAATAAAACACAGGAAGTGTTTCTGTCATTTTTCGATAGAATGGGTACCGTATGTTTTAAATAGGCCTACACACATATGTTCAAGTTGAACATTTTTTAAATATTGCGAGTTAATTTCTTAAAAATCTGTTTAGACTATCAAATGTTATTTGATAAAAAATGTGATACGTCTAAATATGGTCAGATGAAAAAGTTTTTATTAGGATTACAGTAGGATTAAAATAATTTACTTTTAATTTCTCTATGATGATAGTAGGCCTAGTTGTGGGAGGTATTTCGGTCATTTTCTTCAACAGGGATCTAAATATTCTCACGGTTTGTTAATAATAACGCTCAACAATAGTGGCGTTGTTTTAAGTTTTTGTAAAACGCTATATAGAAATTACGATACAAAATTTAACTTATGGAGGACCACTATCATTCTGCTTTTTTTTTTTTTTTTTAAGTTTCTCTTTTTGTTGGGAGGGCTTATCCCCGCCCACTCCGGTCCGCTCCGGCCTGCATCTGTATTTAATAATATTATCAAATAATGTAATATGATCATCGCGGTTGTTGAGGCGTTTATGGATTTCAGTACAGTATGATCGAGCTTATAAATATTAATATCCACCTCCATCGGATCGAGCTTATGAATATTAATAGCTCAATGGAGGCTGCGTGTGTAAAGTAGACATTTCTGCCATATGGCAAGAGCGCCGTCGTCGGGTCGTAAATCGTAAATGAAGAAAACAGAAGTTCACACAGTAAACAACGCGGTGGTACGATAGCTGGTACCTGCAGTTATCATTACTCGATAAGTAGTTTGCTTCGGTACGTAACTTTCTTATTTATTTATAATATTAAAATCTCTGATAAATATAGCTTACTACTAGGCATAGGCCTACCGGTGGTAGGCCTATTGTGGTGGTCAACCAATGACTTTCATCTATAATACAATAAACGTTATAATTAAATTGCATATGCTCAAAACTAGTGTTTGTGTAAAACACAAGTACGCATTTATATATAAAATAATTTCTGACTAGGCCTAGGCCCTAGGGACATGAATCTAGATAGGCGATGGCTGGATATGGCCAAAACATAGATTTATTCGCTTGTCAACCAAAGACATGGACAGACGCTAGTATTTAAAATTATTGATATTCATATTAACTACCAAGGGTTTTGTATTTTCGCTGAAGGTCAAATGATGTAGGCGGCCTGTAGGGGTACAGTGTATGTAAGCCCACTTGTATCTCGAGATCATCTTTGCGCAACAGCTCAGGACGTACCGGTACAGAAGAAATATCGAATGTAATTTCCTCTGCAAATGATACCGTTTTGGCTCCTATTTCCTGACCATATGGTAGCCCCATTGAATCAAAATCAAATTGGATTTTAACAGTGGCACACCATTAAGCTAATTAGTGCATCCTTAAAAATATAACAAGTATAATATCAAAACATTAGGCTTAGAGATTTACAGACAAAAACACATTCAAAAGTCACACTTTTTAATAGAAACGGCGGTCCCGAATTAAGGATGCGTTTTTACAAAACCAATAACAAAGAAAATTAAAAAATATTACAATATTAAAATTAAAATTAAAAATACACTTTTCATTTCAATAGTCATATTAACTAGATCAAATTTGCTGACCATGCCGAGGATTTCATTGAGATACACACAAAAAGAAAATTAATTAGAAAGTGAAACACAATTGGCATTTGAATCTAAGCCTCCACTTGAAGAAAAAAGATTAATTTCAAATCTCCAGCTCCGTACATTTCTCCTAAATACATAACTACATTGATTCTTTAAACATGTGGCAAGGTCAAGCCAACCCATATAGGCATACGCATAGTTGCAAATCGTGTTTTTGAGATACAGTAATGGCCAAATAGAATGTCAACATTTTTAAAATGTATTATATTGTGCTAAACTAACCTTTATATAGCCTATCTACTGTGTTGTTGTTTCCCTCATTCTTTGAACAACATTTTTTTAACGGTTTGGTGATGGTCTTGAGAAACTCCCGAATCGTACGGTAAGTTTTGAAGGCTGATTTCTCAAATAGGCCTAGGGGCCTACTGTTAGTTATTCAGTTGTATGTTTAAACTCCTATAACCTCATTACGAAATGTAGTATCTAAATTATTCTTTTACCATTTTATGACTTAAATTTTACTGTTTAACTCTGTATTAATAATTAAAAATCGATTTTTAAAATTGTTGTTAGGAGTGACTGGTTTGGCTTGTCTTTGTCACATAGACATATGCTTTATTCATTACTACTACAGCACAAAAATAAAATATAGGCTACCTCAATAAAGTACAGGGGATCGATATTCACGAGTCCAACTATGTGCGTGGACTAATATATTTTTTCGCGTACATTTATACAAAAAAACGTGTATTTAATTTGAACGTAAATCAGCACTTGTACAAAATATCAGAGCGGCTATAAACCTGGTACAATGGGTCAGAAAGATGGTCTAATCTAAGCATACCGAACTATTGAAATACAGAGAGAGAATGTTTCCGGCCGGGACGTCAAATTTAACAACCGTCCAATCAGAATATGCTGTTTAATAGCCAGGGGAAAACACCATGTTACTCACCGTACAGAGTACCGTAAATACGACTGGTTGAGGTCCAACCCAAAACCAATTTGAGCAGTACGGTGTGTCTAAGCAGTATGCACACAGTATTAATAACTTGTAGCACTGTGTATATTTTAACGTGAGTTAACTTTTTCCTAACAATAATAAAAGATAAATATAATAATTTTATTTTAAAGAAAACAAGTATCACGTACTATTGACAGTTTCGAGAATCCTGAATGAATTTTCAGAATGAATGATAATGATGGTGATGACGATAATGATGATAATATTAATAATAGATGATGGTGGTGATGATGATGATGATGATGATGACGATGGTGATAACAATAATAATGACAGTATGTTAATCATTCAGCTGACTATGACGATGACGATGGCAATGATAAATGTAAACGTTTGAAAAACTTCATCGGTTTTCATTAAAGTTTTAATAACGAAGCAATTTTGAATCAGATAGTAATAATTAAAATGTACGTCCGGATCATAATAAATTATTATTTATGGAATTCATAAATTCACAAATTTGTTAATTCATGAAAGTCATTTCTAAATATTTTTTTCATGTAGAGATCAACTCACTCATTTGTTGCATTGCTGAATACAGACAACCGGGCTGAATCATGGCATTCGAAAGGGTCTTCGAATACATCGGTGAGTTTGGACCGTACCAGAAACGAATTCTTCATCTGGTCTGCCTAATAGCTCTACCCACTGCTATCCACACCATGTTACCAGTGTTCATTAACGCAGACACCGATCATCACTGTCAAATAAAGTATTTAGATGGCATGAACTGCTCTCGATGGGATCTGACTACCAATGAATGCGAAGACGCGAAACTTCGCCTGAGTATTCCAGATGACGACGAAAGTACTATTTTTGTTGATGAGCGTAAATGTATGATTCGCAATATTAGCGTAGATGAGTTCTATCCAGATTTGAACGAGACCGAAATTGAACAATTTGATGTGGTTGACTGTTACGCTGGTTGGACTTACGATACATCACAATACAAGAGTACAATTGTACAAGAGGTGAATATTGATCACTGTGAAATGTTCCTTTATGTTGTCAACGGCGGGGACACACTGCGTCGTACGACGGTCGTGCGTGCGTCTGAGTTGGTCTCGACGATATCTGTGAGCGCTCTACGATGTGACGCCGTCTGCTGATTGTCGGTGGCAGTCTGAGGGGTTGATCCGTTGCGCGCGACTCGTCGTGTTACCGTCTCCCATGGAATCGCACCAGTGCCCGGCAATCGTCGGTGCACTGAGTCGTCCACTGCATGAGCCAACGGACGTCGGTACGATGGAGACTACAACGCGACGGGATTCACACGACAGATAGTTTTCTTGAAGATCAGCCTTCAACCACCACTGACAATCCATAGACGGCACTCACCTCACAGACAGCGGAGACGCCGTAGTGTGTACGTGCCCGCGGGTTTACATGAAATACGAAATACGAACTATATAAACGCCTCTGAAAAGATAAGTGTAAATAATGAAGTCTTTTCTGTTTGTAGTATAGCCTACTGAGTTACAATAATTTCCAAAATGGTGGAAGAACACAGTTTTTTTCACTTGATGTCGCTTTCAATAATAAAATAAATATTTCATACATTGGTTTTATACATTTGATTGATAGTTAATCTAATAGGTTGGTGTCTATTTTTCATGTTTATAGTTTGATATTGTGTGTGGTCAGAGTCATAGAGCGACAACGTCATGGACTGTTTACTTTGGTGGAGTTCTTTTTGGTTCATTCTTGTTCGGGAATATCGCAGATCTGTAAGTACATCAAATCTGTACGTACATTATCAAATTGTGGTTAGTATTTTTTTTTTATACAATACTGTTCTCCCGTAAAGTAAAAACTGAGCAAACATTAAAGAACGGTACCGACGTATTTCATAACATAGAAATAATTTATAAAAGACTTTATGATCAAATAAGCTAATAAAGCCCTACCTAACCCCGCCTTTTTTGTGCTTGAGAACCAAGTTTGATTTCCCACACTAGTCGCGATCCATAATCGTAATTAATGCATACTGACTTTTAAACAAATGTAGCAACTGAGATGTTTTATGTTTTAAATTTACTCTGCTTGTCCTTTTCGCCATACCATGTTTGGAACGATATGTGTAACGATTATTCATTGGCTCATACTCATATTTAATATATTTATATTATAAATATGAATATTGAAATAATTCATAAATTCTTATGTTATTTATATTACATACATATTTATACATCAATATTCATACTTAATATATTTATATTATTAATATAAGTATTGAATTTTGTACATAATTATGTGCTGTATGTTAACACTTTGGTGAGTGTATTTATAAATTCAAATAAGTTATTTCGAACATACTTTTTTGTATAGATAAGAACAAGTAAATTCTTAAATCGTGAATGTTTTCTTTCCACGATGAACTTTTACAGGTTTGGTCGGAAACCAACCTTCTTTATTGCACTTGGTTTACAAGTTGTTAGTGAGATTCTCATTGCATTTGTTCCAGCTTTCTGGCTATATAGTTTATGCCGATTCATCGTAGGAATGGCAAACATGGGTGTTTACCTTATTGGGTTTGTACTAGGTGCGTCATTATAGATACCATTATTGCAGCCTGGTTTCTATAAAATCGCTACATGCTATCGCCGACGTTGGTTTGTATGACGAGTCGGGAGTCTTCCCGATTGCGTGAGGCACAGACAGCTACGCAGTGGGACGCTTGCAGTGAAAGCATTACAATGTAGCGATTTTATGGAAAAAACAAGCCTAATAGTTTTGTTAAAAAGCTTGGGCGAAGTGTCGTATCTAGGGATGCGCGTGGGTGGGGCAAATAACATTACGCTAAAACAGTATTTAAAAATCATCTCATACCACCTTACTTCGCAAGTAGCCCTCCCATTTCAACTTGCCCCACTCATACCATTTTAATACCCCTAGATACGCCAACGTTTAGATGAAGAGAGTAGTTACTTCGATGATTCTGCTTCCTCTAGTTCTTCGTCTCTTCTTATTGTTACTCCTTTCTTCTCTTTTTGCTCTTCTTTTAGAAGTTACCCCTTCCAAATTATCTTCTTTCAGTTTCTCTTCCTTTTTTCTTGAATTTTACACTCTCTTCCTGCTCCTCCTCCTCTTTTCCTTCTCTATATTTTTCTTACCGTATATATAAATTGTATTGTTACGTATTCTAGCCTGTTATTTTCTAGATTCAAACAAATCAGGCGCAACCCTGTCCTACCATCGTGCAAAATTATACACATGGAAGTAGGTAACAACCAAGGCTAGGATACATATTAATATTGTCTTCTGTCTAATCGTTCTGTAGTGTCTTTGTTATATTTCACTTTTTGGTGTGCGTGGATATCGACCAATCAATAAAAAGTGCATAATTCACATAATATTTTTTTTCATAATTTTCCAAACAAGTGACTGAATACGTTGGACCCACAAAACGCACGATGGCCGGCTCGTTATTTGCTATTTATTGGTCACTAGGATATATGTTCATTGCTGTTCTAGCCTTTCTCTTCAGAGAATGGCGAAAACTAATCATCGTTTCAACATGTGTAGGCGTACCACTCTTCTTTATATTTCCGTGAGTATAGACATTTTTTGCAATCGGTAGTCCTTGACTGAGGTTTATACACAATAATTACATTGCATCCATATATAAACAGACAAATGGCAGTTGTTATATTTTAAACCGGGCTCAAATCTGCGTCACATGGCGGTCGTAGAACCGTCGGTCGAAGAATTGAACTCTGCTTCCTGTGAGCGTTAGACGACGCGACGCTGTCAGTTGATTGTTGGTGGCACCGGCAGTCTGAACGGATCGTCATTAAAAACAATCCGTTACGCACGCGTCGTGGCGTTGCGATCTCTATGGAATCGCATCGGCCGACGACCGTCGGACGCAGAGAGTTCCCGGCCTAATGTATTGTTCAGTGAATTTTTAGACTTTCTGTACATTTTAATAAAAAAAAAAAAAAGACATATAATGGTGTATTTATGGCTTATAAAAGCCTCAACTTGCTTCAGTTCCCTAGTCATTAAAATCCATTTTTATATCTTTTAAAAGTACGGTATGCGTATATTTATTAGTATTAGGCTATATACCATGTACACCTTATAGGCCTATTGGTGGAGAGAAGCAGTGTAAATTTCCAAAAGATTCGAATTTTCGACCTCTCAGTTTTATGTTTTAATCGGCCTAATTCTTTAAGCGCAAAGAGGATTTATATTATAGGCTGGGGTAAGTGTAAACAGGGAGCAGACAACGAGGAGCGAAGAGAACGGAAAGAAGTTTTATCAGACAAGAGACAGAGAAGATAATACAGTCTGAAGGAGAAGTAATTGAAAATATTCCTGACAGTAGACATGAACTGATTGAAAGTAAAGCACAAAGCTTACATGCTGATTATTCATAGCCGCTTTTTTAATGGATGTAAAAGTGAACATTAGCGTTTCTACTCTTACTACTCAATCACTGGTTCACTGCGGCTCAAAATAAATATACAATGGGGGTGGGAATAAAGCCTAACGGGAACTAGCATTAAGAATTCCAAAACACACTTGAGCAAGTGTGGCATGGGTAGGTGCGTGCTATACAGGGCCTGGCCTCAAAGCATCCGAGGACCCATACGCTGCCGGACTCTCTAAGAGAGCCACTTGGCCAAGAGTGGGATAACCAGCACTATTCTACCTACACTCACCCCTCCCTTAGGTTAATTTGATACAATCTTCTTTTAGATTTGTCCCTGAATCAGTTCAGTGGCTGAATTCAAAAAGCAAGAAAGAGGAAGCCAAGGAGGTATTGAGAAAAATTGCTACTTCAAACAAGACACAGATTCCTGAAGGCGTTCTTGATGAGATCCTAACTGAAAAGCAAATGGTAATCCCGTAAAATATTTTGTCGTACTAGACAGGTCAAAACATTTGCATTCGTAAAGCGTTACGTTTTGTCACCGTTTGCTTTATGATACATATTGTATATTACTTGATAGATCCCATATCGCCCTCTCGGGTACCTCGTAAAATTTTTCTAAAAATACAAAAATAAAGCTTCAAACTACTAGGTAAGTGGTGCTTGAACGCCAGCGATTTCCGGGAATAACCATTCCCACTTTACAACGAATTACAAGGAATTATCGTGCCCACTTTCATATCGCACATTACCTTTAGCAAAACTAGACAATCTACTATTCTACATGAGATAACATCTATCTTTCATTTTTGATAAACTGTTTCACTGTTCCCTGGTATGACGCAAGCAATAATTAGGACTGGTGGGAATCCAACCATGATTGTATTCAATTCAATTCAACTCATAGTAATTTTTATTGCAATTTCTAAACAAGTTGAAGTTTAACAATCGAAATCGAAAGAAGTAGGCAAACAGGAAACATACTACACAAAAATAAATTTAAAAATTCAATAAACATCTTTAACAATTTTAAAGGAAAAGAAGGTAAAATTCAAAAAATAGAAAAAAAAATTAATTTAGGCCTATACCAAAAAAAAAAGGAAATTCACATTGAGAAACAAATTAAATACATGAACAATTATAAAGAAATTTTATTTTATATACATCAATTGGATACAGAAAAAGTAAAAAAAGTGATAAATTTAAATGTTAAAGTAATTGAAATAGAAATAAATAATGACGTATGACGATCATTGGTTCGTTTCCTAAATTACGCTTCCCTTCCCAGTCGTCTACTTTTCGGTAATTACGGAGCTTTCGAATTGTTCGACGACGCGACGCTAGAACGAAATCGCTCATGCGTGATCGTAATACCGGGCGTCCTACTTCTCCGCATACGTAGATTTGGCCAACTTATGTCCTAGAATCTATACGACGCGACAGGGAGAACTTAACGTTTTCGCATGCGCAGATGACTTTTATTTGACGTCACGTTCTACATCTTACCGTCGTCGTGCAATCAAAAGCTCCGTATTCATTATATTTGTGACGTTGTGAAACTTAAGCCTTGTCCAGTCTATCACATTATATGTGACATAGCCCACCTAAATAATATGGTCATTATGATATCACATCATGAACTTATAGGCATATCATTACCATATATAGGCACATCATGACCATATATAGGCACATCATGACTATATATGGGAATTCAACAGATTTTTTGTAAAAGAAATTTCGACAGTGTTGACAGAGCTTAAAACTAACCTACTTATCGCAATGCTCCTTTTAGGTAACTAAACAGACTGCCACGGTTATAGACTTGTTTAAGCATCCCAATTTACGGAAGAAAACCATAATTGTAATGTATATCTGGTAATTATTATTATGTTGTTTTTTTTGGGGTTTTTTTTTGCTTAGGTTTTATATTTAGGCTTAGATACCGTACTGTAACTATGTTGACTAGGCTAACAGCGTACAATATGTTTCGTTGATAGTACCATCCATTTTCTGTAACGTTTTTACATTTATTGTTTGTGTATTTGTGTGTACTGCATACTTTCGTACAAGTAGACACTTTGCTATCGTCTCTCCTGTAAGTTGTATGAGTAAATCCGGTTGGAGGAATGATGGGATGCGTCATTAGTTAAAGATAGAAACGAACCGTCTGCCAAAAGTAAGCCTAAGGAATATGATGATATTCCTAGACCTGTCCTAGAAAGAACTAAAAACTCAACTATTACTTACAACACAGAAAGCGTGGATGGGTTATAAGTTAAAAGTAGTCGAAAAAGAAAACTGCCAAGTAGTCACACGCTTCTGTTAGAACTTATTTATTTTTTTAAATGTCATAAACAATTCATTTTGTTTTCTTCCCAATTTGTTTGATTGTCTAGGTTTGTGAATAGTTGTATTTACTATGGGTTATCTCTCGGTTCGTCTGACTTGGGAGTGAATGATTATCTAGCTGGAGCTATGTATGGATTCGTTGAATTACCAGCATACCTACTTAGTTGGTTAGCCTTGCGATACCTCGGAAGACGACTCTTGCTATGTGGTGTTATTATAACTGGAGGATGCCTCTGTTTCATCAACATTTTTATCCGTAAGCTATGGACTAACAGAAACCATTTTTTCTTTGTTCTTAGCATAGACGGGTCAAGGAGAGCAAGCGGAGCACACTTCCCCTTATTCCCGAATATCCCTACCAATTCTATTGGGGGCCAGCAGTTTCAAGAAGTAATATGAATACTACATTACCGCCAAAATTCATAATAATCCTGTATGCTTAATCTGCCTCTGTCTGGGACACACTGTTACCGATTTTTACCGACTGTTATGACAATCATATTTTCATATTTTGTTAAATGAATTGCATTGATGTGCAAGAATATCATTTTATTATTATTTTTTTTATCTTACAGCAACAGAGTACATTAATATTCGGACAGCCATATCTATGTTCGGCAAATTTGCTATTACGGCATCGTTTAGTATTGTCTACATTTTTTCTGCTGAGATCTTCCCAACGGTGGTGAGGTAAGAAACTACATATATTTAGTTATATATTTACAGCATTGCCGCATAT